CCCTCCCTTGGCAATCATGAATCACTTTTCTTTCTCCAGGAATATTTTTCTTCGATGGATTATTCTATTCTGGACATTTCATATAAATTAAATTATATAATAGGAAGGTTTTTGAACTTCTTCAAAGAAGAAAGTGTCTGGCTTCTTTCACATGGTACAATGTTTTCAAGGTTTATGTCCCCTCCCTCCCTCTCTCCCTCCCTCTCTTCCTTCCTCTCTCTCTCTCTGTTTTTTTTCTTTTTTCGTTTTTTGTTTCTTTGAGACAGAGTCTCACCCTGTCACCCAGGCTGGAGTGCAGTGCTGTGATCTCGGCTTACTGCAACCTCCACCTCCCAGGTTCAAGCGATTCTCTTGCCTCAGCCCCCTGAGTAGCTGGAACTACAGGCGGATGCCACCAAACCCAGCTAATTTTTGTATTTTTAGTAGAGATGGGGTTTTGCCATGTTGGCTAGACTGTTCTCAAACTCCTGACCTCAGGTGATCCACCCACCTTGGCCTCCCAAAGTGCTGGGATTACAGGTGTGAGCCATTGTGCCCAGCCTCAAGGTTTATTTGTATCGTATCATGTATTAGTATTTCAGTTTTTTAAATGACTGAATATCTCATTATATGGATATACTACATTTTATTTATTCATCAATTCATGGACATTAGAGTGGTTTCCAGTTTTTATTGATTGTGCATAATGTTGCTATGGACAGTCATGCACAAGTTTTATTGTGGAGACATTTTTTCAGTTTATTTAGCTTTATATTTTGGGGTGTAGTTGCTGTGTCATATGGAAACTATGTTTAAGTTTTTGAGGAATTGCCAATTGTTTTCCACAGGAGCTGTACCATTTTAAATTCCCACAAGCAATGTATGAGACCAATTTCTCCACATCCTTGTCAACACTTGTTACAAGTGTCCATTAAAAAAAAAATAGCCATCTGGGCCAGGTGCAGGGGCTCATACCTGTAATTCCAGCATTTTAGGAGGCAGAGGTGGGCTGATCACTTCAGGCCAGGAGTTTGAAACCAGCCTGACCAACATGGTGAAACCTGTCTCCACTAAAAATACAAAAATTAGCCAGGCGTGGTGGTGTAGTGCCTGGAATCCCAGCTACTCGGGAGGCTGAAAAACCAGGTGCGGTGGCTCATGCCTGTAATCCCAGTACTTTGGGGGACCTAGGTGGGCAAATCACCTGAGGTCAGGAGTTTGAGACCAGCCTGGCCAACATGGTGAAACCCCGTCTCTACTAAAACTACAAAAATTAGGTGGGTATGGTAGTGGGTACCAGTAATCCTAGCCACTCGAGAGGCTGAGGCAGAAGAATTGCTTGAACCTGGAAAGCAGAGGTTGCAGTGAGTCGAGATTGCACCACTACATTCCAGCCTGGGTGACAGACAGCCTCATTTTTTTTCAAAAAAAAAGAAAGGAAAAGAAAAAGCCACCTGTACCGCAGACTGGGTGTCTTAAACAACAGAACTTAACTTTCTCATGATTCTGGAGCATAAGAAGTTAAAGATCAAGGCCTGGCATGGTGGCTTATGCCTGTACTTTCAGGCGAGGTAGGCAGATCATGAGGTCAGGAGTTCGAGACCAGCCTGGACAACATAGTGAAACCTCACCTCTACTAAAAATATTTAAAAAATTAGCTGGGCATGGTGACAGGTGCCTATAATTCCAGATACTCAGGAGGCTGAGGTAGAATTGCTTGACCTTGGGAGGTGGAAGTTGCAGTGAGCCAACATCGTGCCACTGCACTCCATCCCCGGGCGAGAGTGCAAGACTATGCCTCAAAAAAAAAAAAAAAAAAAAAGAAAAAGAAATTCAAGATCAAGGTATCAGCAGGGCTGTTTTCTTCTGAGGGCCTCTCTTCCTGGCTTTTTAATTTACTAGCTTACTAATACTAATTGGGGTACAAAATATCCATAGATGCAATTGATCAGATAGTAATTTCCTTAGATGCTGAAACAAAAAAATAGCTCCCAGTCTTTGCAGAGAGGCTGTTTTTATTTTTATTTTATGTACAGACAGGTTTTTACTATGTTGCCCAGCCTCTTGGGCTCAAGTTATCCAAAGTTATCCACCCACCTCAGCCTCCAAAGTGCTGGGATTACAGGCGTGAGTCACCACACCAGGCTTATTTTATTTTTATTTACTTATTTGAGACACAGTCTTGCTTTAATCGTCCAGATAGGCATGAAATGGCATGATCTTGACTCACCACAACCTCTGCCTCCGAGGCTCCAGCACTTCTCCTGCTTCAGCCTCCTGAGTAGCTGGGACTACAGGTGTACAACACCATGCCCTGCTAAATTTTTTTTTGCATTTTTTTGTAGAGATGGGGCTTCACCATGTTTCCCAGGCTGGTCTTGAACTCTTGGGCTCAAGTGATCCACCTGCCTTGGCTTCTCAAAGTGCTGGGATTATAGGTGTGAGCCACTGCACCCAGCAGAGGCCCTGTTTTTATACAGGTGTACATCTTCAACACTCAGTTAGGCAGTTTACAACCCTGCCTTAGCCTTCTCATTTTGCTTGTATAAAGCTTCACGGTTGGCCAGATGGGGAAGTTTAAAGCCTTCTCAAGTCTTTCCGGAGTATTTGCATAGCTCTGGTCATGTGCATGGTCTTCTAGATTCTTAGGAATATACTGGAACTTTTCAAGGCCCTTATTCTTCCAAAGCTTCTCATTCTCCGGCCTTTTCTCTCAAGCTTCTTGGGCAGTCTGTTGTTTGCTCAGCTGTTATCCATTACTTCAGGCAGCAATGGCAAACACATTTACTTATAAATATTGTGGAAATATGTCCCCTGGTTAATGGCTTTAGCATTGGGACAAGGTGAAGGCAAGCCTTTTGAGTTGGTCTTCTGGGAGCCATCAGACAAGTACGACCAAATACTTCCTCATTTATAGTAATAATTACTATTCTATAAAAATGAGGTCTCATCTACTGGTTCTAAGAATGTTGGCTGTTATTTCCAAGGATATCCCTGAGCTGAGGAGCAGGGAATAGGCCTAGGGTAAGTTAAAATGCCAGAATGTTTACTGTTCTTAGAGATTCAGCCTATTTTCTTAAGTGTTCCTGGGTTGCTGTAAGCTTTTGGTTCGTTTCCAGAGTTCTGAAAGAGCTAATACTGAGAGTTTTTGTTAGTTTTTTTCACAGTCAATTCGGAGCAGTGAACTTTTGGAGTTTCTGACTCCACTCTTTTCCTGTGTGGTTTTAGGAGATTATTTTTATTTTTTGTGCAGTTGTGTTTCTTGGCTCACTGCAATCTCTGCCTCTCGGGTTCAAGTGATTCTCCTGCCTCAGCCTCCTGAGTATCTGGGATTACTGGTGCCTACCCCCACACTCTGCTAATTTTTGTTTTTTTGGTAGAGACTGGGTTTCACCAAGTTGGCCAGGCTGGTCTTGAACTTTTGACCTCAGTTGACCGGCCCACCTTGGCCTTCCAAAGTGCTGGAATGACAGGCACGAGCCACGGCGCCTGACCTCAGTAGTTATTTTCTTAAACACAAATATATAATATCTTTGTGTGCTTATTTACCTCTTGCATTTCATTGTTAGTGAAACGAACATTAGTTCTTTCTCATTTTCCAAAAAATTGGGTTTGCGGTATTTTTCTAAACAATTGAATTACAGACTATCTTTGTAACTGCAATGCCAAATCAGCATCATGTCTGACAAATAGTGCGTGGTGAATTCAGTTTAATGAATGACAGATAGACAGAATTAGGTATGTGTAGGTTGAAAAGGGGCCAGTGGTGAGAAAGACATTAAACATACAGAAAGGAGATTTGTAATGTCATTGAAACAGTGTCTTAAGGTCTGCCAAAGAGGATGGCATTCAGCTTACATGAGAAGTCAGTTGTAAAAATGAGGAAGTGATATGCGTACGTCTCAGGTTGGCATGGAAATGTGAGAAGATGAAGGAATCGGTACTAAGTGCCATAACTGCTTCTTCCTCTTCTTTTTTCCTGCAAAGGGTGGTGTTGCATAATGTAGGGAGGCAAAAAGAAAAGGAACAGAGTCTTTAGGATAATGGCAAATACTTGGAATGATTATTTTGGGGAATGAGAAAGAACCCTGATCACAAGATAAAGGAATTGCCAAGAGTGGCTAACAGTTGGTTGAAATTGCAAACTGTAGTGAATGGCCTGGAGCGGTCGAGTAAGTTTTTTTTCTTCTTTCTTCCAGCCAGAGGCGGACTCCAGATTTTCGAATCTGAGGGGATTTAAAAAGCCGGGCGCGGTGGCTCAAGCTTGTAATCCCAGCACTTTGGGAGGCCGAAGCGGGTGGATCACGAGGTCAAGAGCTCGAGACTATCCTGCTCAACATGGTGAAACCCCGTCTCTACTAAAAATACAAAAAAATAATTAGCTGGGCATGGTGGCACGTGCCTGTAATCCCGCCTACTCAGGAGGCTGAGGCAGGAGAATTGCCTGAACCCAGGAGGCGGAGGTTGCAGTGAGCCGAGATCGCGCCATTGCATTCCAGCCTGGGTAACAAGAGCGAAACTCCGTCTCAAAAAAAAAAAAAAAAAAAAGAAAAGATTGATATTGGCTTGGGGGCTTGCTGTACAGATGTGTTACAGAAAGGCGCACAATGAAAGGAAATTCATCTTAGAAAGAAAGGATATGTCCCAGAGAGGGCGATGTTGCTGCGGGTATTTAAAATGATAGCCCGTGAATAGGTAAGCAAAGAAGGTGCTAGGTTAGGGTATCTCTCCATCCTTTCACCACTCCACGAAAGTTTGTATGACTGCGAGGCGGAGGCAGGGAGGACAAAGCTCTCACCGGTGTGGCGTGGCTATACCAGCTCTCACAAAATCTAGAAGGTGACGGAGCTAGCCTACAAGGAGTCGTCTTTAGTGGAGAGGCCTGAGGTATCCGCAGTGACGGGGGTGGCAGTGCGACCCCTTAATTTTCAACTACAGGCCAGTCTCAGGTGGCCCAAAGGCGCTGAATCTTAGGTGGAGTCTCCCCTTCCGCTGAAAGCAGGGGACGGCCTGACCCGGAAGTTTCTTTGCCAACCCGGAAGCAGAGCTGTGCAGCGGAGGCGCCGCCTTGGAGCCGCCTTAGAGCCACCGCCCCCTCGCCGCTTTGCCGCTGCGTTGGGAAACCTGGACCGCAGCGGCGCGGGGTTGCCCTCATGATCCCGGGCGGGCGGCGGCGGCGGCGGCATAGGCGGCGGGAGGATGACCTCTTACAGGGAGCGGAGTGCCGACCTGGCTCGTTTCTACACTGTCACGGAGCCCCAGCGACACCCGAGGGGCTACACGGTATATAAGGTCACCGCCCGGGTGAGTGCCCGTGTCGGGCTAGGATAGGAGCTTGGATTGGGACCTGAGAGTTTGGGGTGGGGACCCTGGTGTGAGGGTACTTGACTGGCCCAGAGCCGAGGGTGGGACTGGGTGCTGCGCCTAGTGGCGGGACTTGCGTGTCGGAGGTAGGGATTTCTAGGTTAGTGGCAGAGTGTGGTATGCCTGGGGCTTCACTGTAGTGGGTCGTGGTAGAGTCCTCTTTCTGGGGGTGGGGCAGTCAGTGGTTGATGGTTTAAAATTGTTGACTCAGTTCCCATCCCGTTTGGACTTTACTGAGTTGGCAATTTGCAGAAGTGGTTTTGCTTGCTGCAGGAGGATAATGCACATTAAAAAAATGTTAATTTATGTATTGTTTGGCTTATGTAATAGAAGTTATTTTTTCTCTTGACCTTTATTTAGTACCAGATTTGCTCTGAGGAAGACAGACTTGGGGAAGATGTCAGTGTTAGGCCATTAACCTAGGAGCTGTGGATCTGGGTTTTGTCAAACCCTTGAGTTTTTCGTGGTTTTCAGTAGGAGACATGAGAAAAATCTGCTGAGGGTGGCTTGTGTGAGCTACCATGAAGGCATATTTTAAAGTTCGGAGGCTCCTTTACATCAACTAACTGGTCCAACTTTTGGTACCACTTTATGTTTTAGAGAATCTGCATCTTCAATTACAAAAGTATGTGACGTATGTGTGCATGAATTTGTGTGTATAGTAGGCATTTTGCACGTATCACCCGATTTAATTCTCATTTTAATGATGAGGAAAGAGATGAAAGGAAGTTTAGTAACTTGCCCAACTTTACATTGCAAGGCAGTGGCAGATCCGTCTGGGATCTGAAAGCAGTTTTGCCTAACTCCAGGTTACATTAAATGTGAAGAATTAACTTTATCATTATTAATTTTTAAAGAAGATAGGTACAGATTAAGAATAGTTCAATATACATTTGGAGAATGTAGTAATCATGTCGAGTAGGCCTTGAGAAGAATCTTAAAGGTTAAGAAATTTAGATCAGGTTGGGGCATGGGAGTGCACGTGATGTATGGAAATGGTGCACAATTCAGATAAATGTGAGGAGGGACGGATGAACATGTCTGTTTAAAGATAATGAGAAGAGCTGACCTGCTATTGGCAATTGCCGTACTGAGAATAGAGGGAAGCTTGTTACTCGCTGTTTGCATGTAAGGTTGCTATATGGGTGGAGTGTTAATTTCAGGCTGTGTAAGAAATTTTGTGAGATTAAGGGGCCCTTATTATGCCACTCTTGAAACCTTTTTAGTCATTGGCCCTTCAAAAATCTAGACTTAGTTTCCTAACATGTAGGGTATGGAATCAGAACAGTTTTCAACATACATAATATTTCGTTCACAGCATCCTGCTTATCCCTTAATTTAACAAGATAGTTATATTGAATTAATCTAGTTGCATGTCTAGGTCTCTTAGTGGATTCAGAGCAGTTCTCTATCACTGGCATTTGTTTCTGCTTATATTAACTAATAGATATAAGAACATACATGTGCATGGCACACAGAGCCTGAAAACCATTGTTGAATGTTTTCATTGTATTCAGCACACCCAATAAATGATCTAGGTACTAAATAATCTGAGAGACATAAACCTGAATAAAGCATGGATCTTCCTTTCAAGGATACTCATAGTAGAAGAGAGTTTACTATACTTAAACAGGTGTAATATAACACAAGAAGTTCCAGCAGATACTACAGAAAAAAGCTGTGGGAAAACAGATTGCTTCTGGACCAAGAAATCAGGGAATATGTTCCAATCAAGATAGGTGAAAGGGGAAGAATCCAGAAAAGGAGAGGGTATAAAAAGGTAGACAGTTGAAGGAGTAGAGTCCATAAAGACTTGGAGGTGTGAATGTGTGTGGAACTTGAATAGGAAGCACTGAGTATAATTATTTGTACTGTTGCTTTACAAAAGGAAAGGTTAACCAAATTCCGGTCCTTTTTTTTTTTTTATTTTTGAGACAAAGTCTTGCTATGTCGCCAGGCTGGAGTGCAGTGGTATGATCTCAGCTCACTGCAACCTCTGCCTCCCAAGTTCAAGTGGTTTTCCTGCCTCAGCCTCCTGAGTAGCTGGGACTACGAGCGCACACCACCATGCCCAGCTAATTTTTGTATTTTTGGTACAGACAGGGTTGGCCAGGATGGTCTCAATCTGTTGACTTCATGATCTGCCCGCCTTGGCCTCCTGAAGTGCTGGGATTACAGGCATGAGCCACTGCGCCCGGCCAGATCTCCCACCTTCCCCCAGATGTAGTCTTGCTCTGTTGCCCAGGCTGGAGTGCAGTGGTGTGATCTTGGCTCACTGCTACCTCGCCTCCCAGGTTCAAGCAATTCTCCTGTCTCACCCTCTCAAATAGCTGGGATTACAGGTGCCTGCCACTATGCCTGGAGAATTTATATATTTTTAGTAGAAAGGAGGTTTTGCCATGTTGGCCAGTCTGGTCTGGAGCTCCTGACCTCAGGAGATCCACCTGCCTTTGCCTCCCAAAGTGCTGGGATTACAGGTGTGAGCCACCACTCCTGGCCAAATTCAGATCTTAAATATCTGAAGCCGTGACTTATTTACTGAACTAAGTTTTGACAATATAAACTAGATGATAAAGTAACACATTGCCTTAGAACTAACCAAATTTACATATATGCATGTTACATATTGCTGTGGTCATTTGAACTTGAAAATTGCATTGCCTTTTTTCTCCCTGCAAATGTTTGTCTTCATTTCTCGCTTATGTTACAGATTTTGTTTTTAAAATATAAGGTCTGAGTCAACATGGAGACGTACTTTTAAAATAATGGTGTTTAGTATTATAAAATGTTTTTTGAAAGTTAAGGAGAAAAACACCTTTTCTCAGGATAATTAACCAGGTAAATAGTGTTCTTCTGAGAGAACTTCAGGAGATAGAAATTAGGAATGTCTTCTGTGTGTTTCTGCTACTGATTTACTTCTAGCTTCAAGGAACAATTTTCTCTATTTTTGATCCTTGCAGGGTTATTTCCGTAGCAGTAGAGTTTTAATCATTGGAAGTACCAGTGTTAACTTTTGGATAGCAAAAGGGCCTTTTCATCTTCTTAAATCTCCTTTGTGCTTTTTTGCATTTCTCTGAAACCTGGTAAGCTTAGATGATTTTGAGGTCAGTTACAAGCATGTTAACAGATTCCACAGTTAAACTCTGTGATGTTTCTTGATTTCTATCTAGAATAAGTACCTGTATTCAGACTTGGAAAATTCTTTCATACATTCTGTTTGATTCTTTAGTTGAAGGAGACACAAGTATAAAAGAACTGTCAGCAGTGTTTTCAGTCATGTCATCATGCTAAGTTTGCAAAATTCTCATATTGTAATACAGATTTCTCAGCAACAGGAGGCGAATGGCAGTTCTTACCCATATTCTTTCCATCAGTATAAAAAGTATGTTTTTATTTTCAAAAGACAGTGCTGCCTTATAACGTATTTTGTTATATTTAGTCATAATCTGCATACAGTAAGATTCACCCATTTTAAGTGTCTAATTTGGTGAGTTTTGAGAAGTGTATCCAGTTGTGTAACTACACCATGTTCATCCCTGCGCAAGTTCCCTCATGCTCCTTTACAGTCAGTCACTCCTCCTCACCCCCGTCCCTCGGCAACCACTGCTTTGCTTTGTGTCATTATAGATTGGGTTGCATTTTATAGAATTTTGTATACAAGGAATCATATAGTATGCACTTTTTTTTTTGTCTGGCTTCTTCTATTAAGTATGATTATTTGAGATTTATCCATGTTTTCATGTGTTTCATTCCCTTTTATTGCTGACTCATATTCCACTGTATGGTCATACTACATTTTATCTATTCACCTGTTGATGGATATTTGGGTTTCCAGGTTTTGGATATCATGAATACAGCTATTATGAACACTCACATACAAATCTTTGTATGGATATATGGTTTTATTTCTCTTGATACCACACTGCTTTGTTTACTGTAGCTTTAATGTTCTTTCTCAAAATTGTTTTAGCTATTCTAGATCATTCGCATTTGCATATAAAATTTAGAATCAGCTTGTCTGGTTTCTACAAAAATGCCTGCCCAGATTTAGATTGGGATTATATTGAGAATGTAGATCAATTTCAGAAGAATTGATGTCTTAAAAATACTGTCTTCTGATCCATGAACATACATATCTCCCCATTTATTTAGCTCTTCAGTTTGAGCAGTGCTGTGTAATTCTCAGAGTTTAGTTTTGCACATATTTATTTTTATTTATTGATCTCTTTTACAGATGGGGGTTTCACTGTATCATCCAGGCTTGAGTGCAGTGTCACAATCATAGCTTACTGCAGGTTGAACTCTTGGGCTCAAGTGTTACTCCCTCCTCAGTCTTTTGCCTAGCTGGGATTGTAGGCACAAGTTACCCCATTGACTTTGCATATATTTAAAGTTGTTTGGGTTTATTTTCAAACTATGAGAATGTATAAATTCTCATTTTTATATGTGGCTAATGTTTGTTGACTAATAACAGCAAACACTTACATGGTGCTTACTAGGAGTCAAGAACTTTATATTAAATTAACACATTTGGGCCAGGCACAGTGGTTTATGCCTGTGATCCCAGCAGTTTGGGAGGCTGAGGCAGGGGATTGCAAGATCAGGAGTTCGAGACCAACCTGGCCAATATGGTGAAACCCCATCTCTACTAAAAATACCAAAATTATCTGGGCATGGTGGTGGGTGCCTGTAGTCCCAGCTACTCAGGAGGCTGAGGCAGGAGAATCGCTTGAACCCGGGAGGTGGAGGTTGCAGTGAGCCAAGATCATGCTGTACTCTAGCCTGGGCAACAGAGCTAGACTCTGTCTAAAAAAAAAAAAAATTAATAAAAAATAAATAAAAACAACACATTTGTCACAGCAGCCCAGTGAGTAGGTACCATTATCATTTTCTCATTTTCCATGAGGAAATTGAGGGACAGACACGTTTAGTAACTTGTC